TGAGTTACATATCAAGCAAAAATAATAGATTTCAGAGAAAAAATACACTAATTCAGACTTTCAGTTTCACCAAGCAAGTCAACTGAAAAAAGTCACAAAAAATATATCAAGCCAGCGCCGAGACGCAAATGTGATGCCACTGAATCCCTCTAGGTTGATCGTTGTAACGGATGCATTTAAGTCGGGTATGGGCGAAACAAAATAGAGATCAGTTATGTCTTGATTTCTCGAGATAAAAAAGTCTGAGAAGGCTAGGATGCCTGTTAGTCTCTCACCAATATGGAGATTCATACTCGACAAGTGATATCAGAAGAGACGACATAATAGAGGCTTTATAAGGGCTCGTCTAGTTGTCTTTCTGTTGCTAAAGTTAATCTTTCCTCGAATGAGGCCATCGTAATTACCTTCAGGGAATATCTAGTTAAGTACTTAAGAGGAGACAAAAATATGAGAGCAAAAATGAATTTTGTCAAGGTGGGGGGAAATGACGATAGAGGGGTTGGAATTAGGTGAAGGGAAATAGACTAAAAAAGTAGGAAGAAAGATTAAATAGTACATGGAGAATGGGAAAAATTAAAGTAGAATTTGGTTTATTCGGAGCTAGAGAAATTGTGCACAGATTACGACTCCTCAAATGATCACGTGAGCAAAATTATGACTGCGAACCTGTTGTTGTTCTCTGTGGAATGAGCCTAACATCGAGAGCAAGAGGCGAATGAGCACCGGTAGAATCTCACGTAAAGTCCTCGGAGTATTGGATACTACAACCTTCCACACATGCACCGCAGCCTGCCGGACAATTTGAGTAGGGTCGCTGCGCGCAATGTGCAGTTGAGCAAGGACTCGATCGCGGCGTTCAACCGAAAGCTTCTCCAAAATACGCTGATGTACGGCTTCGGTACCGAAAGTGTCATCCTCATCAATAGTCTAAAAATATAAATTCATTAACGAATGAATAAAAAAGGATAAAATTTTGAGTAAGAGAGAATGGCGATAAAAGTCAAGAGAATTAAAAGAAATTATTCCATAAAAGGACTCTAAAAAGCAAAGTAAGATAAATTGAGAATCAAAATGATGGCGTCCTTAACCTAGTTAATATAGCTAACCTTAGTGGTCCCTTTTCCGGTTTGTCCGCTTATCTTGTACAACAAGTCTCCGAGTAGATGCACAGAAGCGTGACGGATTCGCCAATTAGAGTCCACCATGCCGCGCTCAAGTTCAGGTAAAAGCAATTCGATCGCCTTATCAGCAAACAGCTGAACGATTCGCTGACCTGCGCGAAGAGCGGTTTCTCGTAGGAATTCTGTCTCATCGGACAAAGCCTTGATGAGCAAATGGAAAAGAGCGCAAAATCTACAATAGGATATATCAAAGTCGAGTTTGATCGTATTAAGGTATCAAGGAGTCGAATATGTAAATAGGATTTAAAAACTATGTAGAAAGAATGAACTGAGACGCAAAATAAGA